CACTCCGGGTAGACTGTGAGGACCCCGGCCTCAAGCAGTTTTCATTGGTAATATCAGCCTTGGGCACTGGGCCCGTTAAAAAAAAAAAAAAAAAAAAAAAAAAAAAAAAAAAAAAGGCTTTTAGAGAGGCAGCAGATGCACCGACCTCGCATAAGCTCGCAATTCAGTCGGTTCTCGCGGCGACTCAGGATTGGCAAGGTCTGACCTTAGCCAACTTAGACCCCCAAACCGGTTAACAGTCCGTACCCAAAGATGGTTGCATCAGTCCCTTAATGCATAGTAGGTGGCCGACCCAACTGCAATGGGCAGCGTCTCGCTTGCAATCATCAACCTCAACTGCGGCAGGCTCCCCACAAATAATTTGTAAATTCCTGTGCCTTGGCAGCCTCCGTAATGGCTGCGGATGGCCCTATGCTCAACAGCCCAGAACGGAGCCTCGCAGCTCAGACCAGGCCCGCTTATAACTTTCCTCTGGTTTTGCCAGGTGACTACCACTTTCGGTAGTGCCCACAGTCGTGTTTCACCCCAAGCCACCACTACTTCAATCTAAGCGGCAAGGCTACGAGTGTAACTAAACCAAGACCACAGTCTGTAATACAGGTAGGACTCAGCTAATTTGAGAATGACAATGGGTAAACTCGAAGATCAGCTATGTTTGTGTAAAAATACGGGCCCGATCCTGTGTTCTGTCCGTCATACTGGGAGCAAAACTAGGATGGATCTTCGACTTGAGGGTGGGACGATACGTCGTCAGTTACGGTAGGTAACTCGTGTCTTCCCCCAACTCACCCCTTTTTTTTTTTTTTTTTTTTTTTTTTCATCTCTCATATCCCCTCACTTTTACTCAATATATCTGGCCAACTCCCCGTCCTGGTTCAATTACACCTGATTCGAACCCGAAATCAAACGGGTGCATGTCCCCTCTTGTCCAACCTAACGTTCCTCCAACCTCCCTCGCATCTAGCCGTCACCCCCGCCTGATGCGTTTGAGTTGGAACTTCGTTCTCACTTTTCCTTCTCTTCTTCGTTCCCTCTCTCTCACCACTCTCCCTCTCACCTCACTTGCTGCACCATCTCGATGCACCATCCCGCTGCACCATCCCGCTGCACCGTCTCGCTGCACCATCTCCCTCTTGACCGGTCGCTGTTCTCAATCTCCCCCTCCAAAGCCCCATTCCATCATCCCATGGGTCTGGCCTGGTTTCCCGGCAGGTTCATACAGCTCTCGTAGTAGTTACAGGGATACAAACAACGACCGACAGGCGTATGCAACCTGCCGTGAGGGGATAGCCATTCTGGCGTTGGGTCTTGTGGCGACATGATAACAACCATAAGACATATGGGCATCATGTGACACTTTAAGTGAGGATAAATGGTCAGTATATGAGGTGTTGACATGGCAAATGTGCCTGTGGGGCGTTTTGAGCCCTTCGTACATGAATAGTCGTTATCAAATGCGAATTAACAAAAAAAGGGCAGAGGCTCTTTATATGACACCTTGACAATGTTGTCCTAGCAAGGTGTTGCCAACGACTGTGACAGACAGTACACGATTCAAAAGGGCATCGTGGCTAGGTGTTGCCAACGACTCTGACAGACAGTGCATGGTGCCTGTTTTCCATAAAAGGTCA